CAATATCATTTGACTCCTCAATTGAACAAACCAAATAATTGAATTTTGTTGTCATGGACCGAAGGATTTTCTCAACTATGGCAACATCCTTCAGATTTTCACCATGGATCCTCATCTTGTTTGCAATTGCCATCGTCCTTGAAAAATAATCATTTACAAATTCACTGATCTGCATCTGCAAACTTTCGAATTATGCCCGCAAAGCCTGGCGTTGCTGCTGCTTTGCTCTTTCATTCCCTTGGTACTTCTTCTTCATGAAATCCCAAATAGTCTTGGAAGTAGGCTTATTAAGGATTGTTTCCAAGATAATTCGATCTATGGCTTGGAATAAATAATTCTTAGCCTTGAGATCCTTCAACTTTTCCTTCTCAATTTCCGCCCTCTATGCATCATTTGCACCTGCCGCTGGTTCTGGAACTCTAGCTTCAACAACTATCCAATACTCTTTAGACCGGAGAAAATTCTCCATCAACATACTCCAATGGTCATAGTGATGACCATCAAAACGAGGGATTAAGGGCTGGACATAATTTTCAAAAACCATGGAATCTGTCGAGAATAGGCTTTGATACCAAATGCTAAAAAAATCAAGGATTCCCAAGAAGAAGAAGATGGAATGAAAATCCAAATCTCATTAAACTGAAATTAAACTAGTCTTTAAATATGTTTTACAAGATAACATTATCTAAAAATATAACTAATTAATCTTATCTAATCTAATTTAAATTATAACAACTTAAAACAAATAAATAACTTAAATTTCCTAAATTATAGAGATAATGGCTAAATAATAAAATCTAATTTCTAACAGTAAGCTAGTTTATCAAGCAATTCCTCTCTTAATTGAAAAATAAATTTCAAGCTGTCACGCCCTAAAGATGAGAGAATTAAAGCAAGTTACATTCTGACCAAAACTCTTGAGTTCTTGGCTTCAATCACCGATGACCAGAGTTCCCCCCTAGAGAGCATTAGGAAACAGCACAAGTTTTTGATCCCATCAAACTCAAGGTTAGACAAACAACTTTGAGGGTCGTTGCTATCACCAAGCAGTTAGCTCCTAAACAAAGGCAGAGTAAGAAGTCTTATGAGGTAGCCCGTTTACAGGATCATAAATGAAGAAGTCTTATTGAGACTCATGTACAGCAAAAAAAGTTTGATGCTATAGCAGAATATTTGTTACCTGGCTGGAATAGGTTCTGTAATTATGAACACGCAGGTTTGGAGGATTTCGATTCTTTGGAAAGCTCATATACATTTGCAGGAGGCCAGGAGCCAACCAAATAAAAAAAAATAAAGAAACAAAAAAAACATTTGCAAATCTCCAGATTTATGAATACAACTGCATTCCTTGAGTAGTTGACAACTTTGAATTTTAATACTGAAATGAGAAATTATAACAGGAAAAAAAGTTCAAGATTGCACACATCAAATGAACATAAAATATTTTGAAGGAAGAAAATTTTCAAATTGCCCCAATATTTCGAAGTTAACCATAAACAAACTAGAACTTAAAATTAGCACCAAGAAAGAAAAGTTTTCAACAACAAAGTGCTTCTCAAAACTCTGTTCAATCCAAGCACGATGCATTTGTTGTTTTGTACCATTAAAATTCTCAGCATTATAACCCAATTCAAAACCATGAAGCTTTTCAGTTGAAAGAGAATAGAATACTCCATCTTTACGCTTGAACCTTGGGAAATAGTCCTTGTTTTCGAAAACCCAGCCATCATTGAATCAGAGCTGAACTGAGAAGCTTTCTGAATTGAATCCAAACACATCAATTTTTACCGAAGAGGCGCCAACTAAGAAACATGTCTCGCAAACAAAAGTGATTTAATTAGTAATTTTCTTTCAGTTGAAGTAAAACATTTGAGCTATGCAACGAAAATATATGTGTTTATTTACATGTATGTAACATGCCTTGTTAATTTCTAAATCTCAAACTGTTGGTAGAAGAACAAAGCTGAATTTGCAAAGAAAACTGAAATGTGTCACCGAGAGAAAGGGCTGCAAAAACAATGGTAACCTAAGACAGTGGAACGGAATAGGAGATCTTTGAGTTGATCATGTTTAAGGTGGTGGGAACCAAGCTAATAAAATTAAAAACCAAAGTCATAAACAGGATTAGATGATTGCACAAAATATTTGTGATTTTATTTTTACCATGAAATGGTCTCCAAAAATTATTTTTAAACCCTTTGTTGGTCTTTCCTCAAGGGAAGATTGATGCATTCACAAACTTTTCTACCGACGGATCCGTCTCTTCAATTGAACATCAAAGATAAAAAAACATCTATGGTTTGTTAAAGCCCATCATCTTAATTGAGAAGAGGTTGAAAGCATGACCTTCCTGTTGTAAAAAATGAAAGGACACTAACTGATATATATTCAGATTCAATACATTACACAATATATATTAACAAATTATTTTTTTGTCTAAAATTAAAAGTAAATAAATTTAAAAATATAATTATACATACAATATGCAAGAACTAATTAAATCAATGGTACTTATATTATATTTTAAAAAATCAAATCAGACAAATGTTAAAAAGTATGTGGAGTTAAGTATGTATCAGTCATTATTTGAAATGAAATCTAAATGTTTTTCAAATTTTGGAACCTAAATCATTTCTAGACATTTACTACTAAAATTTACAATTTCTTCCCAATTTTTGAATTTGCAAACAAATCTAAAATGGGTCACTTACTGTACATATGAGGAAAACCAAGGGGAGGGGAATGAAGGGATTTCCTCCGTTCCCCTCCTCTTATGGATAAATCTCTCATCTTTTCAAATTTTTTGCTAGTCAAATAAAAGAATTTTCCTACCTCCTTTCCCTTCAAACTAAACATACTATTAAAGAAAGGGGCTGTACAAAGAACGGGAACCTAAGACAATGGAATTGAATAGGAGATTTTGAGTAAAAGTATCATTTAAGCATGAGTAGATGAATGATAACTATAATTCTAAAAATGAAATAAGAAATTATAACAGGAAAAGAAGTTCTATTAAAATAGTAACTATCTAATAGCAGCCCCAATAAGGTTATACAAAGCCAGAATAGAAAATCAGCACCAAAGAAGGTCTTCAATGGAGTGCTTCTCGAAACTAGGTTCAATCCAAGCACAATGCATCTGTTGTTTTGTACCAATAAAATTCTCAGCCGTGTAACCCAAATCAAAACTATGAAACTTTCCAGTTGAAAGAGAATAGAATACTCCCTCTTCACCCTTGAACCTCGGGAAATATACCTTGTTTTCCATCTTTGAAGCAACTCCTCTAATTGGGGGTGCAGATATTGATGCTCTTGGACTCAGAAATAATGCCATATTTCCTAAGTTGTTCACTCTCTTCCAAATCATTGCCGATTTATCCAGCTTAAAGACATCAATTGTTCTTCCAAGATGACCTTCGTATACGGCCATCAATTCTCCATCACACTCTGTCAAATAACATTGATCGACCGGTTTACGAATAGGTTTTTCCAGCTCCTTAAGCTCAATCCAAAAGTCTTCGTCGTTATTAGGGTCGAAAATGCTTAAACTCCCTCTTTTTTCACTCAAACAGTGGAATGCCCCGTCAAAGAAAACGGGATTACTGTAACATGGCATGTACACATTTGTGTCGCTGTATTCTTCAAAAGTTTTCCAACACGATTCACCACGGCGGATGCAGCTGAATTTTACATCGTTTAAGCATAGGATACTAATGGCCAGAACGATGCAATCCGGAGCCGTTGGGAGAGAAGAGAAGGAGATTTCGGTAAACTTGTGCTCTTCTATAGGTAGATCGGGAAGATTGATTTTTTCCTTGGTGAAAGGATTGAAGAAAAATATCTTAGAATTACCTTGAGTCACAAGCAACCAGCCACCTTTGGAGAACCTGATCTGTGAATTGGCTAGTTCCGGAAAGATGATGCTGTGAGTTTTGTTGAGCAAGGGATTGAAGAACTTGCAGACTGACGTGTTGCGGCCAGAAAACACGAGGGTTGGAAATCGCATGACCTCGGATGGTTGCCTTGCTGGAGACGGGAGCCACCTGACTTGAGATGGAACAGAATTCCAGGCCTTGCAAACGGCATGGAACCAAATTCGATCTGCACCAAAAAGATGGGATTTGATCATGGAGAGGATATCTACCTGGAGATTGGACCAGCATCTCTCTTCTTTTTCTTCTTCGCTTCCAGTAGGAGCTTCTGTCGCATTGTCCATGACAACTAGGGACATACGAAGCCAAGAAGGAATTAATGCTAGGAATTGAAGCAAATAAAGAGTATATGAATCTATATATTTATAGAGGGAATGATTAATAAGTGAATCGGTTAGAATTAAAAGGATTAGGAGTTGTCTTTCTACACAAGTTAGGATTAGGATATGCATATATAATATGGAAAAAAATTGGAAAAATACAATACAAATCCTAATCAAAAATGAAAAATTAGTTGAGAGAACTTTTTCTTCTTTTTTTTTTTTACTTTTTCATACATCCTTACATGCTATTTAATAATTGGTTTTTTTAATTTTCACCCTTAAAGGCACAAGTTAAGGAATATAATTAATGTATTTTTTTATAATTAATGTATATAAAAAGGATAAATGTTGACTTTGAATTAATCAATTAACTAATAAAAATCATTCACGTGTTAATAATGTTAAAATAAACATCAATTTTTACAATTTTTTATATAAATTAATTATAAAAAAATACATTTATTACACATTTAACCGTGTCTTAAAGGCACAGGTTAAACAAACTATTCAATAATTAACTTGTTTAACTCCATTGGAATCCGTAATATTTTATATATATATATACTCATTTAATAATATATGTAAGTTGGATAAAAAAGTTGTCCTATATCAATGATTCACACAACTTTTTTGCCTCAAATTAAATGTGATTTTGGCAATGCTACATTTAGATCTTTGTTGATAGATATAAATAGGTTGCTGAGCGCCCTTATTTCCAAGCTCGGCCAAATCTTTGAAAATTCAAGCAAAGCATGTTTATTCCTTTTGATAACAAAGAAACAGGTGCATTTATGAAGCACCTTATTTTACTCACTAAAATGTCCTATGCATCTATCCTCTGCACCATCTAACACTAATATTGATCAGGAAAGCTATATAGCAAATATATCAGTTAGATATATGATGACAAAGGAACATCTCACGTATTCCCATTCAAAGTACAAGGAAAAGCATAAAAATAAAAGCTTTGAAAGTGTAGTCTCAGTGGAAACTGAAAATGGCACCAAACCAGAATTTAACCATTCATTTTTCAAGTGAATGCAGAATTTCTTGTCAGGACCAGAATATATAGTATATTTGATTTCTTAAAAAAAGAATATATCATATGAAATAATATAAACCTAAACCAGTCAAAGTTCATTCTATCCAAGAGAACTTTACCATGTCAATGTGCCTGAGCCTATCAAAGTTAGTCCAATAGAATATATATCAAGCATGTTCCAACATATCAGTTATACATTCCAAGATGACTTTTAGGAAATATAAATAAAAAAAATGATTATCCTCGTGCATTATCTAGTGAGTCTGAAAATTCATACCTATAATGAGTTTTCAAGAAATCCCTTGCGAAATTTGCCTTAAATGTGATTTTGGCAACTGGAGAAGGGAAAAACACAGGCGAAGGGAGATAAAAAGAAGTCCAGTATTTGTTGCACTGCAAACAATTCAGTCACCAGCAAGAATTACCAAGGGCCAAGTGAGGTTTGTGATGCGAACATTAGAATGATTTCTTAAAACATTTACAAATGGATGATACGAAAGATATTACTTAAATAAACACAACTCACACAGCACATGAAATGTAGAGTAATTATCGCTAGTTAAACAATGAAGGATTACGGACCATAATCCATAAACAATGATTGCTCTCTTATATAGTAAAATTGTTTTGGCTTTTCAAAATAATAATAATTAAAAAAAAAAAAAAACCAATGATTGCAGCATTTTTTTTTTTCCATTGGTCACCCTGTGCATGTCTAGTCTAGCTTTAACTCTGTTTCTTATTAAAAATAAAAATAAAAAAAAAACCAATGTTTGCAGCATTTTTTTTTTTCCATTGGTCACCCTGCGCATGTCTAGTCTAGCTTTAACTCTGTTTCTTATTAAAACTGATGGCAGAGCCTGCTAAAAGATTCATCGGGTACTACCATTAGTTCTAGCAACTCCAACAATGATTGATACAGAGATATCAACACTTGCTAAAAGAAGCAGACCACAACCCCACACATTATACCAGTGGTATTTTCTGGGTTATTACTTATTAATTACAATCCTTCAATGTCATGATTCATGTATATTTCCAACTAAGTCAAGCCGGCCTGCCTTTCCCACCTAAGGTCTGAAGAGAATTCTGTGAGTGCAGCCCGAGGGTCGCCATTGGAAATTGACAAATAGTATTGAGCAGTTCCATCATCAACTTGCATGCTTCGCCTTAAAGAGTCGATTATCCTTCTCTTGCCCTCATCGGAGGTGGCATTGTCTTTGTTCAGAAAAGGTCGGGGCTTACAGTCAGGCCTGCCTTCGAGATACAGAACTGCAACTTCTCTCTTTGCATGGGTATCCATCTCTATGTAGCATGTGCAATCTAGAAGAAGGTCCGCATTGCTTATAGGGATTAATAACCTGTCTCTTGAATAGATTCCGTGGTCACTCATCATGTTATTTAAGCGCTTTATATCCATTACCTGCAAATACAAGAAAGAAATACATGTGAAAGGTAATTCACTTAATGCAGAATTTAAATGGAGGAAAATAGTAAAGATTGGCTGTAGCTGTATCCCACCAGAATGTGAAAGACAACAGGAGTAATTAAAGAGAAGGCCTGTAAAAGAGAAGACACTGAAAAAACATCCCCATAAACTGAATGGAGAGAACCATACATAAAATAAAACCAAAAAAAAAAAAAATCTTAATGGCCTATGTTATTACCCTTATTTGGTTTAAACCATTCCCATTTTGTACCTATTGGTTCCTCAGAGTTAGAACCAGTGTCATGCTGAAAAGCTTTCAATTATTTTGCAATGGAAATTTTGTAATCTAAAACCTTTATCACTAGGGAGAGAGAGAGAGAGAGAGAGAGTGAGTGAGTGACATCCTACTATGTTTCTGACACCCCCCGGCCTCCCCTCTGGAAGGAACTGGTTCTGTTTTCTTCTGAATTCTAAAAGGAAAACAGCATTTCTTACACACCATCAATTGCAATCCCTTAAACTATAAACTGGCTGCAAGACAACTGGAGGCAATATTTGCAACAATGCTTTTCTAAAAACTAAATCATGGTTTGGTGAAGCTTGTAAGAGCTTCAGCTTTTTGACATTATTTATATTTCATAAGTTTAAATTTTCTTCTTAAAAACTTATATTTTTTAACTTCTTTTTAACATTAAAAAGACCTTAAACAGTAAATTTTGAAAGGCTTCAAATTTGTGCTTTTTATAAACTTCTTTTTTACTAACTTCATATTCACTTTTTTTTATTTCTAAAAGCAATTTTTAAATTTTCCCTCCAATAAAAATTTAAACTTATTACTTATAAACAATACAAAAAAAAGTAAAAGTTCTTACAAGTTTCACCGAACATGCTCTTAGTCTTAAGATGCATCTGGGAATGAAAGTTATACCAAGGGGGTTATTTCCATTAGTCATTCTGTTAGCCCCATCTTTTTAACCAACAAGCTTAATTAAACCTTAAAACAGAATGCAATGCAACAACTTGTACAGCTATAAACCTTGCCATCATGGCCAGCCAATCTCAATCAATGATTCATCATCTCCATCCATTACAGTGGTGGTAATTGATACAGTTTCCACCAAGACAACTAAGTAATGATTCTTCCATGTCCTCGATCTAGACCACCACTTCATCCTTTACCCCACTTGTTGATTTGTTTTCTTCATCAATGCAACAGAATTATCATCACCAATTATCACTCCCTCTTCTAAACCCAAATAATACCAACAAAATGAAAGTAAGGACTATCCAATTGGGTTTCTATTCACCTCCCAACACAACACCAAGAGGGCCAGAACTCAAATCATCCCCAGCAGTAATGCAGTATCAGTGATACCTTGAATATGATTTTAATTCAACTAAAATATGATTCTTATAGCAATTAAAGAGATGTTTCAATTCAAAACCCTCCCAAAATAAGCAATCAGAAAAAAGAGCAAAATTTCCCTTCTATCATCTTTCTTCCATTTTCTCATCAATCAAAGAGGTCTCAACACCGACATACCTGAACGGAATACTTGACGGCGAGACTGGCAACGGAATCCCCGCTTGAAATCCGGTGCGAGATTGCGAATTTGCCGATTCCATTGTCCCTCCAGAAGCTTCGGGAAGTCGGCTTCCCCACGACATCCTTGAGCTTCCAGGGGGCCTTGATGGTAAATTTGATGATATGGTTTTTCACCATATCATCAAATTTGGTCCCTTTTTTTTGTGTTTTGTCACAAAAATGGGGTCCACAAATTGTAAATCATAAATAAATTAACGTGTGAGAAATGGATTTGATGGAATAGTTATGCATCGTAACGTCATTTATTAAATTTAAGTTGATTTATTTTAACTAAAAAAATATATAAATTAATTTATTTTTTTTAGCGAAAATTTAATTAGTAAGACAATAAGACTTGTACTGAAAATCAAGTAGTCCATATCACTTTTAAATCCCCAATTTATTCAATCATATGGAAAGACTCGTAGCTCAACAGGGTGTGAAGCAAAGACAATTGCCGTCCGGCTGACATAGACAACCTGCTCCGTCTCCAAACTTTAGAACGCAGAGGTAGGTGCAGCTTGCCTCTGTGCAACTGTTGGTGCGCTGTGAGCTGCCACAAACCCTTATTTGAGTCGTTACTCGAGTTGTTTCTGAAACTGGATTTCATTGAGAATTTAGATGTCAAAGAAAAAAAGAACTAAACTCTAAGAACAAAAAAGATTAAAGAGAAA